AGTCCTCCTACAGACCTAGTCCCCGTCCTCCTGGAGACCTATAGTCCACGTCCTCCTGGAGACCTGTAGTCCCCGTCCTCCTGGAGACTTATAGTCCCCGTCCTCCTAGAGACCTATAGTCCACGTCCTCCTAGAGACCCATAGTCCCCATCCTCCTATAGACCTAGTCCCTAGTCCCCGTCCTACAGACCTATAGCTCCCGGTCCTCCTAGAGACCTAGTCCCCCTCCAGACACTGTATTTTTTAGCTGCACATCGCTGCAGGTGAGGCATATTTTACACTGCAGGTTTTTTTTGCAGATCCTGACACGAGTCACATCTACGACCGAGTATCTGTTTTTTAGCTGCGACGGATCACAAGTACACACAAACCCACAACAGAGGGGACGTGGACCCGGCAGCCCGGGAGGCTCAGGTCCAGCGTGTCCCTGAAGCCCGTATGAATAAAACATGCCATGCTCGTTATATAAAGGCAGAAATGCTCCTGTTGTCTCCCACTGAAGCTACAGGGCTGTGATTGAGAGTCAACCGCCCACAGACAGGTTGTATCTGTGTATGGAGGCTGGGGGGGATACTCCCAAGCGTCATCCTCTTCCTCATCCTCCTCATCCTCAGGCCCAAAAGCACAGCGGCAGGAGGAGGGAGATCACGGGGGCATCAGAAGCCGAGCTGCCCCTCTGTGCTGCTGCTCTGTCACGCAGCGTTGCATCGCAATGCTAATATTAAACCACACATGCGCGTGCGCAAACATATATACACACACACACACGCACACGCACACACAGGTAGGCTGGTCGTGTCAACGTCTCAAGGTCAAAAAACAGGTTGGTTGTCGGACCCGAAACGGGCCGGATGTGTGTGTGTGCGTGTGTGTGTGTGTGAGGAGACAAAAGAGCCGCGGCCGAATCCCGCAGTGTGTTTCCCCGCTCTGCCCTCACCCTCTCGCGGCTACAGGGAGCTGGACAGGCTGGTCAAACATCTGGATGGGAGGAGCGGGAGGAGGGGAGGGGGGGGCTGCAGGAATGAACGGTTAGATTCCGTTAGTAGACGGTGATGATGATGATGATGGTGGTGGCGGTGGTGAGAAAACGAAGAGGAAGAGGAGGACGAGGAAGGAGGAGGGGTCTTGTTCTTCGCCCCCCCATTTTAAACATGTCTTACCCTCTGACAGCTCCAGCTCCAGCTCCGCGAGCCGGGCTCGGATCTCCAACGGGATCGGCGACGCCTCGCGGTCCGCCATTCGGCTCTCGTGCTCGTAGAAAACACACCTTCAACTGCTGCTGCTGCCTCCTCTTCCTCCTCCTCCTCTTCCTCCGCTGCTCCTCGGCGGCCCCTCCTCGGCGGAGAGACTAGAGGCGTCGAGGAGGAAGAACAAAGAGGATAAATCTGGGTCCGTTTTTTGCTCACGGCTCCTCGGATCGGTAAAGACTCCCGGTAGCTCAGCCGTTGGTGCTGGTAGTGGTGGTGGTTGTGGTGGTGGTGATGATGATGGTGAGGCTCGCGCAGCCCCACACAGTCAGACCCGTTTGCAGCTTCTTTGCCGCTGGTGTCACGTGACTCTACGGAGGAAGGAGGAGGCGCTATCGGTCATCACCGACAGGGGGCGCCGCGAGCAACCACACCTACAGCACACAGTGACGGTGTAGTTTTACACCTGGACCACAAATCTGAGTTTAATTACGATCTTTACATTTTATTTTCATCTTTTTTTAATATTTTTTGTTTTAGTAAATGTCCTGGAGGGAAATAATAAAAAAAAAAATAGAAAATTATATTTAAGTTAATTAAATAAATATTTAAAATCTTTAACATTACATTTGTTTTAATCTTATTAAATTATTATTTGTATTTAGTAAACATCTGGGAGCCAAATTAAAGTTAAAAAAAATGTATATTGAAATAAAATCAAGAGTCAACGTTGTTAAATTATTAAATTATTTTTTTGTTTGTTGAGATCTGGGAGAGAAATAATACTGAAGAAATTATATTGAAAACAATATTTAAATTAATTCAATAAATATAAAATATTTAAAAGCTGCAACATGACTTCTGTTTTAATCTTAAAGTATTTTTTTTTGGTTCCGTAAAGATCTGGGGGGTAAAATTGAAATGAAAAAAATATTAAAATCAATTAAATTAAAATATAAAAACATAAATTTTGTTTTTATTTTATTAAATTCATTTCTTTTGTTTAGTAGAGATATGGGAGGGAAATTATAATTAAAAAATGATATTCAAATTAATTAAATAAAAATACAGAATTATAAAAGTTTAAGTATCAATTTTGTTTTTCATTCATTTAGTTAATTTTTTTCATTCACTTGGTTCATTTTTATTCAAACAATTATTTTTACATTATGGATTTTTTTTTGTGGAAAGGTTACTTCGGCATTTTTATTTCAGGAGCTTTAACCCTTGACACATGGTCTTCCTCAGCAGACTTTCATCCATGACTTTATGTTTATTATGTGCACAACTTAATTAATCCTCTTATTGAGCTCAAACGCAGTGTAATGGTGCAAACAATAAAGCCTGCTCACAAAAAAAGAACATACATATTTTTACAATCATATGTTTACTTACTTTACACAACATGCTGCTGGATGGAGCCAGAAGAAACAGTGTCAACCATCAGTGACGTTCTTCTGTCCTTTAAATGTGCTCGTCTAATCTAAACCTCCACAGAATAATGTGACGAGCATCAGAAGGTCAGGCAGCCTTTAATTAAGTCCAGTAGGATGTAACCGGCCTAATGTGGCAGCGACACACAAGTGGGCAACAATTTGTCCATCTAACACAGAGGATGTGATTAGTGATACTCGTCACATTCATTAGGCCGCAGCCCTCCACCAATCAAATCATCCTGGCTGTAAACAATTGGAGCGACATCATGGAGCATTTGTTATGACACTCGTCTGCCATCTGCTGGTCAGGAGACGGAACCACAGTTTAGACCCTCGGTGCTGTGACATTTACATTAAAACATTACAAAAGACCTTTTATAGGAACAAAGAATCTGTGAAGAGAAGCTTTGATTAGTCGGACTTCTGATTCAACACAAACTAGTTTTGTAACTTCAAAGGCACTTTAATATTTGTTCAGTAATATGTACATCTGTACAGACAAAGTAACACGTGCCACAACCACGCCTGCTCTTTCTCCATCACAACTGTTTCACATTTAAAATTGTATTCTTTAAACAAAAGGACTCAAAGGACAATCAGACTCAAGTTTATGGACACCGAGTGTTCCCTCTGTAGGACGTCCCGTGTCGTGAACACGGGACGTTGAGGTTCAGCTGAAGCTTCAACACACTAAAGCAATAAAAATAGGACATCAATTCTAAAATGAAATAAGAAAGTCATGCAGAGATAAAGAATATTCAAGTGATCCTCCCAGTACTCACAGCGTCTGAACATGGGACAAACTGGGAGACGGGTACTAATGTTTAGAGGAGAGCATCGTGTGCGAGTCCATGCAGACTCAAGAATAACACAGATGTATGGAACTAAAATAATAAAAGTGATGGAACATCCTGTACAGAGAAAGAAAACATCAAACGCACACAAACAGCAGGAAGAGAAGAGCCGACAGCAAAACAAGACTAAATCTAAACCTGGCTCTCAGGAAACTGATCTTAACTACAAACTAATGAAACCAACAGAAAGCTGCAGATCAACGTTCACAGATGTCTCTAAAAACTGTCAGCGACATACGACAGCACATTCATTCATTAATACATGTTCAGCTTATGTCTTTTTATAATTCTCCACGGATACGATCATCATGGAGACAGAGCCGGTGCCGACGCCTGGCCCGGGAATGTGGGGGCAGCGGGCTCCGCCTCTGAAGGGGCGGGGTCAGTGGGCAGCAGCAGCGGCTCATTGGATGACACTCTCTGGCAGATCTCGGCGTAGCTGGGCCTCTTGGACTCCTGGCCAATCAGAGCACAAGGTCAGAGGCTGTCACACCTGTTCACTCACAACAGCTTTTTTTAAATGATTTATTTTTATAGGAACTGAGTGAACTGAAAAGTGTCGTATAAATGTGATTATTACTATTAAACTATTTGTTCTTCCATCTGGCTGATCATTACATTTTTGCATAAGAAGTATATCGTTATTACTTACAAATAATAAAAACTTTAGTGAAAGTAAAAGTTAAATGACAGAGATATTTTGTATTAAAGCTAAGATTGGCAATATTTTGAAATCCTTATGTTATATGTGTTTATATTCTGTCGGCTGTCGGGATGTAAAGAGAATCAGAATCAGCTTTGTTGGCCATGTATGTGTACGGTTAAATGAAATGATTATACGGGCTACCTGCACATATTCTGTTTGTACACTCATTGTTCGTCTTCCTCCAGCTGTGAGTTCTAACAGCAGCCATGTTTGTAGTTTACGTTCATGATGATCATTTTGGGGGCGTGTCTCTGGAGGGAGGAGCTGTCAGTGTTGACCACTGGGAGACTCTCTCTAGACTGGGCTGGTGTTTAGGTTTTTTAAATCTAGTGTACTCTCGATAATTCCTCAACATTACCAACACTAGCTTTTGAGAGAGACGTCGATGTTTTGAGAGGACTGAGAGACGAAGGTTAAACAAACCCTGCCCTGAACTCTTTCCTTTGAGTCGCTCTGTCCACACGACACTGAAGTAAAACAGAAACAGGAGAAACATTTCAGCACCATGAACAGGTCTTACTGCGACTGCTTCCTGTGTCTCCTGAGCTGGTTTGGCCTCACTGGTCGTCTCTGCACGCTCCACAGTCCTGCACACAGATCACAGATCAGCTGGATCAAAGTCAGCATAGGACATGAGACGACTGGAGAGTCTGATGCAGTAGATAAATCCTCACTTACTGCTCTGAGATCTGCTCTTGTGACGCTGGTGAACACACACTGCTGCGTCTCACTGGAGTCTGTGATGAACAACAGCAAAGAGACAGTCTGAGGTTTAAATAGGAGGACAGAGCATCAGATGACCAGTGTGTGTGTGTGTGTGTGTGTGTGTGTCAGACAGAGACACACTGGCTCACCTTGACGTTGCCGTTAGCTGCAGGTAGCGCTGCCATGGCGGTGTTTGGTGGAGTCAGAGGAGGGAAGCTGGTGAGGCCGAGCTCGGGGGGAGGAGACGGCTCTCGCAACTGACTCTGTGAATTCTACACAAACACAAACACACAGACACACACACACACACACACACACACACACACAGTCAACACACAACAAAGTGAGCTTTCCAAACACTGGTGATGCTCGCTGGCTACTTACACGAGTGTCTCCATCAGAAGCGTCCCATGACCTCGGGTTGTCTCTCCTCCTCTGGCTGAAGGTTCCTCTCCTTCAGAGAGAGGCGGAGTTTAAAGCATCACTCATCACACTGAATCCTACACGAGTCTGTCGGCTCAGAGGGATCAGCTCGTAAGAACTATCAGCTTTATGTAAGAGTGCTGCTTCTTCACTGTCATTAACAGTGAATCCACATCAGACCTGTTTGATCCGGTTCAAACTGACTCTGGTTCTGTTTGGATCAGTTGAGCCAACAACAGATGATTATTTCACAGATGTGAAAGCAAACTATGTCCCACCACAGCGTTAGTTATCCTGATGAAAGGTAGATTGATGTGACTGAATGTGTCACATCATGAGCCTCATCAGGAGGTACAACTACGTGAACTGTATTAGTTAGTCCAGTATCAGGACTGGACCGCCACGCTCCATAGAGGATTGAATGGAAACAACAGAGGAACTGTAAACACAGGTGGGACTCCGCTGCCTCGATGTTTTGTTACCTTCCTCGATCAGAAGTGGAATCCCTTCCCCCTCGGCTCTGACGGCGCGCGTTGCCCCGCGACCGCCCCCGACCCGGCTTCATGGGAGAGGACGAGCGCTTTGCTGGCGTCTGCTCTGACGAGTCGTTCTGATTGGACTGCCAACGGCCTCTGGAGTTCGACCCCCTCCTGGAGGAGATGGATCATGATGGCCGTCAGTGGATATTCCCACCGGGATCACAAAAACACGCGTCACTACGAGTATCGTGATGAAAACAGCGGTATCTACCTCGGCCTGTGAGGGTTGTACGGTCTGAAGTTGGAGAATCCGTTCATGAAGTCGTTCATCATTGTTTGCTGTTGACAGAAACAACAAAGCGCTGCATCACTCTGCTCGTGACGGGATTATTCTCTCTCCGATGTCTTAATACACCTCTCACCTGGGCACAGTCCTGGTATCCCGTCGCAGCCGAAGCCCACGCCTCGTTGGTGGGGTCAAACAGCTGCTGGGGGGGGCAGGGCTGCTGGTAGGTTCCTGGGGGGAAGTAGGAGTCGTAATGTCCGCTGCACTGGTCCAGCTGGGGGGGTCTGTAGCCGTTTTGTTGAGCAAAGGAAGGGACCGCCATGGTTTTGGCCTTTATCCTCACCATGATGGGCTTTCCCTGGAACTCCCGCACGTCTTCTCTGAGGTACCTGTAGGCCTAAAGACGTGAGCAGAGACGGGACGGAGTGAATATACTTTCAAATCACACAGTTTGTAACTGAATGAAATATACAAACACCAAAAGCATGACTTCAGTGATTAAATAATGAGATCACAACATGTTTGCCATTCATAGAAGGTTGATATTTAAATTCTTAAACCAATAATTGAACACTGCGTAGCTTCTTTGTGTTAAAGTTGTTATTTCTGCACAGTGTCAGATAAAGATAAAGAAGAAGAGTGTTTCACCTGCTGTGCGTCGGTTTCTGACTTGAAAGTGATGAACCAGTTATCGTTGCTCACAAACTCACAGCTCAGGAACTGTGGCAGCTTCTCCGCGTCAAAGAGAGACTCCACTTCCTGCAGCACAACGGAGACATCAAACACACCAGTCAAAGTGAAAAGCACGAGTTTACTAGGAAAGGAGGAGAGGAGAGGAGAGAGGAGATGGGAGAAGGGAGCAGAGCAGAGCTAGGAAAGGAGAGGAGGGGTTGTTGTGGGTTCCTTGCCTCCTGAGGTGTGGTGTTGGGGACCTCTCTCAGGATGACCACACAGCGGCTCTGATTGGCTCGGACCTTCTGTCCACATGGAGTCACCTGAACCGTCGGCAGAGCTGTCGACCAATGAGAGGAGAGACTCAGCACAAACTCCTCACAGTAGAGCATCGCAGATTACTAACATCTAAACATCAACACTGACATTTCAAGATGTCTGAGATGAGGTCCAGGTCCGTGCTGAGACTCTTGATCCGGTCCAGGCTGGCCAGCGTTGCGATGGGAACGTACTGGTCGTCGTCCATCTGGGAGTTGAGGTACAGGTCGTTACTGAGGTGCTCCCTGTGGAGAGATGAGGAGGTGACATGTTCCACGTGTTGGAACCAACAACAAACTAAACAGCTGTTAAATGGTAGGTCATATAAATAAACTACTAACATAGGTCCTGGTAGCCGCCTTTAAGTTCAGTGATGAATGTATTCTTAGTATCGATGTATAATGTTAATATGTTTAAAGGACATAAACAGAGACCAGGTGAGTGGTTACCTCATCAGGCAGGACTTCAAAACGCTCCTCAGCTGCTCGATGCTCTCATCTGGAATCACAGGAAGTCATTAAGTCATTATTACTTCATGGTTCATTAGGTGAAACATATAAACTGGATATAGACCACTACATTGGAGTGATACCTGTGACGGGTGAGTCAGTGGGTTCTCCGTTGAGAAGAGGAGCCTCAGCAGACAGCATCTGGTTCTCTAGTGTTCTGGGATCGACCTCGACCTCCGTCAGGCCCACGTTCTCCAGCTGGAACGTCGGCTCGTATCCTAAAGATAAAATTAAAAAAATGGACCCCACAGCATCTTAGGAACAATTAGCATTCATCCAGCAAAGCCGTTTCTTCATTTTAACACTGAAGACGAGAGATGGTTGAAACGATTCCTCTCATGTTCGTGATTACTTCATGAACACAGCGACACAGACGGAGTAAAACACTGTCGGTTGGATTAGATTTGTTCTGGAACCTGGTGCAGTTTTGGAGAAAAAGTTATTTAATAGTGTTTTATCTCGACATAAAATTTCATTCTACCATAAAAGAAAAGTACGCCGTCAGTGTCAGCTGTGAGAAAGAGAACAGAAGCAGACGGTGTGTTTAACTCCAGCCCACCTTCCCGATTGGTCACGACGGTGGGGAACTGCAGCCATGGCTGCTGAGCCTGGAGGTAGGCGGGGCCAGCGACGTCCAGGTTGAAGCCGTGATTGGTCCATGCCTCAGCATCAGGGTTGAGGCTGGGCGCCACAACGGGTCCCTGAGAGAAGAAGACCCAATGTTCAGAATATTAATCCAACATGAAGCGTTAAATCAGATGTGTTTTATGAGAATAAGAAAAACATGAGTGACGGAAATATTTGTGAAAGAAAGTGACTAACAAAGTTAAGATAAGGCAGCAGGCTTAAAGCAGCTCTCATTGGATCAGAGTCAATGACACAAAACTAAATATAATATATTAATATATAATAAAACTATTTCATCTCACTCAATGCAAAGTGAACAGTAAAGAGGAAGAAAGAATCTTTTCACAGATTTACTCTGGGATATAAACGACAGCTTCACATCTTCATCCACCTGTTGAGTTTCATCTTCAGTTCACTGAACGTTGTAACATTAAGGCTGATCTCACATTATTACTGCTCAACGAGCCCTCGTTGTGTAACGTCTCTGTAAAGACGTTGAGTTCTTTTGGGAATAAGACACTAAACCCTAACAACACTTACAGACTGAGAGCAGTCTGTGTGCCAGTCCCACACACAGCGTCCCTGAGGCATCACTGTGCTGAAGGGGTACGCTCCCAGCAGAGCCATCGACGGCTGCATCTCTGAGACCTGATCCGGGATCTTCTCCATGTCGGAGCCCTCGTCAAACGCGCCCTGGGCCCAGACCCCGCAGGTCTCATCCAGACCCAGCTGGATCCAGGTCCGGGGGTACATGCGGCAGACGGAGGAGTCCGCGTCATCTCCCAGCAGCTCGGACACCATCTCCCTCATCCCTCCCTCTCTCTCTCCCTCCTCGGCGGTCGCCGTCGGCTCGTGACCCAGGAAGTGGATCTCGTGCGACGGAGTCGAGGCGTAAACGTCGATCTGAGACGGGTCCACGGAGATCACGGCACGGTCCAAGTCCTGGTCCTCCGCACAGCTGAAGTCACTAAGAATCACAAAGGAGTCGTCACAGGTGTCGGTGTCCTCCTCGACACCTTGGGCCAAAGTCTCAGGAGCCGAATAATCGGGAGTTTCTGGAGGAATACTGCTGCTCAGTGCAGACGTCTCCTCCTGCAACATGCGAGTCTTTATCCCATTAACTCCATCTGATGAGTCTGTAGTTCGAGGTAAACAGGCAGCGGTTTCACGCTGCAGGTCCACTTCAGGCTGCACACACTCAGAGGAAACACTGGAGGTGAATGATTCTGGGGAGCTCTGACAGTCACGCTGCTTTGAACACAGGGAACTGTTTGGGTCCGTTTCAGGTGAAACATCTGGAACGTCATCTCTCTCAACATGTCTGCTGTTCTGACAGATTTCTGCTTTTGTTTCGTCTCTGCTCATGAGGACATCCTGAAGAGGCTCGTCTGAGACCACAGAAGCTTCAGTTTTCACATCAAAGCTGTTGAGCTGTTCGCCACTGAGCTCAGGGTCAGCAAATGGAGCCTCCACATCTTGACTGCGAGGCTTCATGCTGCTCAGTTTAAACGCTGGATTGTTTGAACTGATATCTAATTGGTCGGATGTGATGGAGTCACACTGGTGAGATGTGGTTTTTAGGTGAGAGAGAGGGGGCAGATGTGTGTGGCAGGAAAAGGCAGTGAGTTCAACGGGCAGTGAAGACACGACTGAGACGGTGGACACCGAAGACACCCAGGTGAGAGTCGTCTCTGCTGTTCCGCTGTCTCCAACGTCGGCCTCCTCCTCACTGTGGACTCTGCCGGCGCTCACAGGGATGGCCACGCCCTGCATGGAGGGTTTGTCCACCTTGCTCTGTCCAGACAGAAGAGGACCACACTCCTCCCTGTGCGGCGAGTCGAGGTGGAGCTCAGGCTTTGAAGGACTCGGGCTGGAAGTCTCCAGTTCAGGAGTTTCAGCTGCCGGTGTAGAACTTTGGATGTGCCGCTCTGTTAACAGATGATCATCCAGAGGATTGAAGTCAGAATCCAACTCTTCCTCCTGTAAACCAACCAGTGTTTCCTCTGCTGCCCTGCGGTCCACTAAGTACACACTCTCTCCCACTAAACACACACCTCTCCCCGTCTCACCCCGCACAAGTTCATCGTCCTCCTCCACACATGCACTTTGATCTGTGTGTGACGTCATCAACATGTAATCCTTGGACTCATCCTCGTCCTCTGCAGCCGTCTGTTCATTCAAACCTTCAGGCTGAGTGCCGTCTGGAGCAGACGCCGGAGGTTCCTCGCTGGTGATTTGACTGCTGGATGGGGTCAGCGGGTCACTGGGAGAGTCTACAGGCTGGGGTGAGGGGGTCTCCTCTGATGAGAGGGAACTGTCTGAGTGCGTCTGTGATGGGACGGTGGATGACTGTGCTGCAGCTGGATCCTCGACGTGCGACTGGCCAGCCCTTATAGATTCTGTGACGTACATCTGGTCCTGGACTGTGGATGCCTCCATGTGTGATTGGCTGGAGACTGGAGACTCCACTATACAGGGCAGAGCAGCTGTTCCTACTTCAGCTGTGTGCAGCAAGTGTGTTGCTCCAGCTGTTTGGGACTGGTGGTCGTTTTCAAGGTCGTCGGCGTCGATGGAACATATGCTGTAGAAGCTCCGGGTCCTGGTCTCGAAACCTTGACAGAGCGCCGTTGTGCCGACACTGATATCCTCACCTTCCTCACCTTCATCCTCCTCCTCCTCCTCCTCGTGCTCAGTGTTGGGGGAACCCCGCTGCGGCTGTTCATCGGACGCCTCGCGCTCCGAGACGTTGCTCTGGCCGTTAGCAGAGCGAGAGGGTAACCTGGCGGGAGCTGACAAACATTTTGACGGTTTGTGCTTCTGCCCGTCTGGGAGCTGATTGAACCACAGAGCCCTGAGGGTGGCATTCTCCAAAATCTTCTGTTTGGCTGGACTCTGTGTGGAAACCTCCATATAGGGTGCCGGTCCACAGCTGGGCCTAGCAGCATGTGTCTCTGTGTCCGTGTTTGAATGCATGTTTGTGTTGGTTGTGTTAATAATAGCCTCATTCTCCTGGTGAGAGCCGGCCGGTTTAAGGCCCCTCTCGCTCCGCGTGGTGCTGTCCCTTCTGACCTCGGCCGAATCCGTCCCCAGTTCTGGATGTCCCTCCTCGTCTTCCCTTGTCTTCCTCTGAGCCGGTCCGTCTGCCACACATGTGTCCTCTTCGTTCAAGCACACATGCTGAGCCATAGCCCCAGCGTGCTGCCTGACCCGGTCTGTCACCTCACTCAGCCCGTCGTGCAGCGGGGGCTGTAACAGACTGCTCCTCTCACTCGGCAGGCCGGGGTTGAGCTCCTTACTAAAGCAGCACCCCATCTTCTCCGGCCTAAAGTGGGAATAAAGCACAAGACTGCTATGTCCACGCACGCTAAGAGGCTACACAACACGAGACAGAATCATGAGCAGCTCCTCACGACCGCTCAGCCACTGGCAGAAAGAGAAAAGACCCTCTGCTCACCCGCTTCGCCTCTTTCCCCTTCCCTCCCACTTTTCCCCTCCCCTACCCAGAATAGCAAATGTGAAGGCGCTCACATGTCCCTGCCACTCAACAGAGGGCCGCACACTACTTTATGTGTGTGTGTGTGTGTGAGAGAATGTATGGGAGCCCTAGTTAGGCTACAGTTTGAGAGGGGTCACCACCAATCACAGAGCAGTAATGCAGCAGTGTCCGCTCCTCCCTCTCCCTCCCTCCCTGAAACTCCCCCTTGTCCCTTCCTCCCGTCCTTTCATTCTCGTATCCTTCCCTCCCACTGACACCTTTCCCTTTGATTTACATCAGTTCTGCTTCAGCGTCCCTCCTTCCCTGCCTCCTCCCTCCTTGCCTCCTCCCTCCCTGCCTCACAAGGCCATTCGGGCCCCAACAATTAATCAGGTTTTCCTGTAGTTGTCCCGGTCAATTGTATAGTTTAAAATAATTAATTTATTATTCAACAATTACTTTTTAATGCTGTTATTTCTTTATACACACACATCTATTGTTTGTCTGTCCTGAAACAGGGATCCCTCTCTCAATCTGTTAAAGGTTAAAAAGGTTTTCTCTATATTAAATCAAGGGTCTGAGGATAGAGGGTGTCGATTGTAATTTTGGATTCTGTAATAATATATGTATATATTGGTCAATATAATAAACATTTGGGTTCTCAGATAGTGATGTTGATTGTAAACAAGCTTGTGTGTCTAGAGAGCGAGCAGTGAGAAGACCAGAGCAGCTGATTCGTGTTCCAGTACCTGGATGAGGTAGTAGTAAGCAGGACCCAGCGCTCCCAGGGGTAACAGCTCCTGTAGATCAGCTGGACACAGAGGATTGTGGTGTGACGTCATGTGGTCAACATAGAAACTGTTGCTGTAAAGTGAAGAGTCATAACATTATGCGTGTTTGTGGCCACTAAGGACTACTTCTGATGAAAGAAATCACAAATTACCAGAGCAAAGTATGGCTTCAAATGTTCTACGGACTACTGAACAATGTAGAATCAAATACAGAAGCTACAACATTCAAAGCAAACAGATCATGTTGGTCTAACCTGAAGTGACATTTTTTAAACTTGTAACAGGGAGATTTAGGGTAATGAGCAATATATCAAAACACTAATCAGTTAGTTTTCTGTTGATCGATGAACACACTCACTGAATAGCCTCAATAATACGTCTCTTCTTTGTTATCATTTGCTTCCTTTTAAAAGGCTGACATGAACCTTTATGAGATCATTAATTCACATCACTTTTAGCTGCCAGGTTAAGAGAAAGGACCATCAAACAGAAAATGTGTGAATAATTAACGATTATCTAACTTCTCATTACTTTACCATCTTAACTGTTAGAACTGTTCAAAACGTGCATCTTCAGAACAAGGAAACCTAATGAGCAGCTCAACACAGTATATCCATGAACACTTTTTATACGTTTCGATTAATTTAACCTTTTAATCAGGATTCTGAGATGTTTTACTTCACCAAGTCAGATTAATATCAAATTGGATTAATGACAATTAGTTATTAATTTTGTGACAATCATTAAATAGTTCATGTGGAAAAAAAGCATTAATTTCTCATATTTTTTTGTTCTGTTAAACTGATAAACTGATATTAACGGCTAAATGTAACGTTAGATCTGGCTAACTGACGTGCTAACGTTCTATAACAGTTAAGCTAACGGTAGTTTGACTTCTTATTATAAAATCCTCCCATTTAAATTTAAAATAGTTTCACAGTAAAAACGTTGGTGTAGTTAGCTAAATATATTAGCTATAAATATATTACGTTTTCAACGTATTCTCTTCCGGAATTTAAACGGTAATTTCAGGCGCAAAGAGGCAGCTAACGTTGGTGTCTCCAACGTTGCTAACCGCTAGCTAGCTACCGTTAGCTTCAGCTGGCCAACTCCCATAAATAGAACGTCACAACGAGGCTAACGGTTAGCTAAATGCTAATGTTATACTAACATAACTAAACTTCATGCTGGAGCTGTTTTCATTGAGCGTGATGCAGTAAACTCACCTGTTACCTGTTACCTGTCCTCTTCCTCCTCCTCCTGCTGCATAGAAAGTCACGCTTGATTTCTAGCTTTCTTGCGGTGTGTTTGCGGGACTTCTCTTCGCGCATGCGCATTAAAAAACGCCCGTTATTGTTGATTTCCTGACCACATGAGCACTCTCATGATCAATTAATCAGACAAACTGCACTTTACACTTGCTACGGAAACAGTGCGTTTCAATTAAAATCAGAATGTTGTAAAAATATACTTTTAATAACAGTTACACCTGCTGGGATGTGGACAGAGTTTTAGCAACACGGAAGCCGTGAGACCACAAACGCATCTTCCACTACCCACAGGACATTTCGACAGGAAAACAAAAATAATCACATTGTTTTATCATAATAATAAAATGATCATAAAAATAAATGATAAAAAATAGTTCATTAAATGTTTAAAACGTGTTGGTCATATGTTTAAAAAAAAAGTTGCTCCAATGTCCTGAGAGGAAAAACAATTCTTTGTCAAAAACTGCCATAAAAATATCAAATATTTGTATTATTTCCACCAATGTCAGTCCTGACAACTACCAAATATTAATAATACCTTTAAATGCTAGTTTGTTTACATATTCCCCTTGTTTAAAAAATAAAATAATCCACAGTCTGGGATCGTCAATGATTAGAGCAACATAGATTTTGCTAAAAAGATCCCATATTAAATATTGTCTTGTATTTTTCTTATTTTATTTATTCAGGTATTGTTCAGTATACTTTTCTGGAAATTGTATTTCCTAAAATAAAAGTCTGTGCTACAGGAATACCATTGAAAAATGCTGATAACTTTATTTTGTTAGACTGAAAGTAGTCGAACATAAACCTAACTAGCCAGGTGTTAGTTTTCAGGTGTTCTGTTGTATTTCATTTATTATGTATTATTATAGTCTGGTCAACATGAAGGTCTAAATAAAATAGTTTTGGGCCTAAAAGTAGCCAAATATTAACATGCGTGATAAATACGGTATTCAGCTCACAAAATGCCCAGCATGTGTTCATTTTTAATAATACAAACTCACAAAGTCACATGAACAGTTTATTAAAATAAATACATAAATGAACATTCATTACTTTCCAAGTCTCAGAATTCAACCGTGTCCCGTTAAAACATATGAAGGGTTCGGACTCCGAGTGCTTTTATCTCTCGCGTAAAGCAGATGATCAGTGACGAAGAGATTGATGCAGTGAGGTGCCCGCGCAGGAATCCCCCAGCATGCATCAGGAGTACAAGCTCCAGTAGATGGTGTTGAAGAGCAGGTAGGACAGAGGGAAGGCCAGGCGGGAGTACGAGTCGATCATGTAGCTGTTGCTGACGAACAGGTCCACGTTCTCGCGCACGGACCGCTGCCGGCGGAGGCGGGTCCCCTCCGGGGGCCGGACGTCCGGGGCCCCGGTCCGGTCCCCGGGGTCGGAGGTCAGGGTGGGCGTCGCGCGGGAGAACGGAGTCAGCTCCACGTCGTTATCGTGGAAACAGCCGTCGAAGGCCATCGCCTGGCTGGCGTTGAAGGTGGACGGGATCTGAAACATGAAGACGGCAAAAAAATACTGAGTATCGTTTAAGTTTTAGATTAACATTTTAACTTAATGTAACTTTACACAGCACCCTCCAGAGGAAATGTGGGGTTTTGATTGTGTTTAACGCTGAGTAATCGATATCTTTTATGGTTCAAATGTCTGATCAACAGTCCAAACATCACAGTTATTCAGTTTACTGTCATTTAAGATGAAAAAAAGAAGCAAATCTTTACATCTGACAAGATGAAAACATGAAATATATAAAAAAAACACAGTGCATCACATTTTAAAAGTTCTCTTATCTTCTCTTATAAGTTCAAGAATAAAAGTAATAAATATAAAGTACTCAAGTATTAATACTTACACCAGTGTGAAATAGAACAACAAAGTTTCAACAGAAAAATGTTGTAAAATAAAATAGAAAAGTAACATTGCGATTGATTTTTAAAGGTAATATTAAATGTTTTTATATTCATTATAAATGTAGTGAAGTAGAAAATTAAAGTGTCATGAAGTAGAGATACCTCCACATTGTACTGCAGTGCACTATATGTAGTAAATGTACTTATTAACAATACTCTCTTAAACTTCTTGCAGGGTATAATGTCCCCGTGTGTCCACTAGAGGGAGACATTGAGTGAAATACGTCCCTCAGTGATAACCTCACAATCAGAATCAGAATCAGAATCAGAACCGTTTATTGCCATGTATGTTGAACATACAAGGAATTTGGCGTGACGGGAGGTGCAAACATTTAACAATCAACAACAATCAGTGCTGCTGACCTTCCCCCTCTTCATCTTTCTCATCTCCTCTAGAGTGGTGCAGTAGTTCACCGCCGCGTACTCGATCACAGACAGGAAGACAAACAGGAAGCTGGTCCACAGGTAGATGTCCACCGCCTTCACGTAGGACACCTGGAACCACGTCCAGTTAAAGTCAACGCACAAAAAATGTACAATAAAGAGCTTAATGCTCCACTCTGGGACACTGAGACAAATATCTGGATTTATTTGCTGACATGAAGGTATTCATACGGTTTCAAAGCCTTATTTTGGATACAAACAAATTTGTAGTTTTCAAAAATCAAGGTCCAAAGTTATCTCACTAAGATAATAAAAGAGAGACGCTGACAGACAAACAAACACAGCAGCTACCTGAGGCATGGAGGAGGAGACTCCGGTGATGATGGTGGACATGGTGAGCACTGTGGTC